GGCGACGCCAACCATTCAGTATGAGGTCAAAGGTCTCTTCTGGTGGAGAGAGAAGCAGAGTGGCCCACTTGTGGATGCTGGTTGGCATCGCTGCCGCAGAGGACGACAACGCATTCTGTAAATAGTTTCTTATGTATGACCGAGACATTTTAGTCGAGGGATTAGAGAGGAGGGGAGATAAGGAGGAATGCATCACTTCACCCCATGGAGGTGTGCAATGTTGCATTATAAAATTGCGTATTTGGGCGTATTGTAGGTAATGGGTGGGTGGGATACCATATTCTCTTTGTATATCTAAGAAACTTTTACATGACCCTGGGTAGTGAACAAAGCTTGGATGGTGTTAATACCTTTGGCTTGCCATATGCGGTACGGAGCAGATTCCCGGCCCACAGGAAAAGCTGGAGATGTCGTGATCGGGAATAGGGGAGATACAACTCCCGGGATATGCATTAATTTTCTTATTTCCCTTCACGTGAAGGATAGTGTCCCTGAATATAATATTGAATTTAATGCTGGTGGGCAGTTGTCTTAGGGGAGTATTCAGAATGCCGATCAACGACCACGGAGCCACCCATTGTCTTTCGAGCTGAGTATTTGTGAAGGACGTATCATGTATCCAGTCTCTCACATGTCTAAAATTGCTAGCTAAATTATATAGTCTTAGGTTTGGAAGATTGGCTCCTAGTTGATTCACAGGTTGTTGCATCTTACGTAGGGCAATTCTAGGTCGTTTTCCTTTCCAGATAAATTTGGAGAAGGCTCCATATACGGATTGGACATCCTTGTGTTTAAGAAGCATGGGGATGGTCTGCATGGGGTATACTAGTCTAGCGAAGCTGACCATACGTATTAGATGGCATCTGCCAAGCGTGGACAATGGTAAATTATGCCAACCCTGTAGTTCATGTATAATCTTATGGATCAGCGGGGTATAGTTATTCGAATATAGGGTAGTACTGGATCGAGGGATAGCAATACCCAGGTATGTGATGCTATGGGGTTTGACCTGGATGGTGCTATTTCCCGACCAAGTAGGGGAAGTAAAGGCGGAGATATGTGTTAAAGGAAGCAATTCGCTTTTGTCTAAGAATTATTTGGCACATTCTCAGGCTTCAAAATAAATTATGTGACTTAAAATGGTGGGAATATATGTTTGTGGGTCAGTGATAAAAAGGACAATATCATCCGCAAATAAGGCTATTTTAAGTATGGAAGAACCAATCCTAATACCCTGGAAGATAGGGGAGCCTTGTCCCTTTTTTTCACAGATATTTCTCCAGATTCTCTAAATCTTTTGATGATATGTACTGTAAATGATAATATATTTAAAATCTTTGCAATTTTACATTGAGGAACATTATTCTGAAATTGTTTAACAATTTGTAGACGCAGCTTTTCACAGATTGGTGAATCTCTGCCCAGCTTTACTTCTGAGACACTCTGACTCTCGAAGATGCTCTTTTTATACCCAATCAGGTTACTGACCTGTTGCCAATTAACCTAATTGCAAAATGTTTTTCCAGCTCTTCCTTGTTAGCACCACTTACTTTCCCTGCTTTTTGAGACTCTTTGCTGCCATCAATTTCAAACTGACATTTAAAAAAAAAAAAAATGGGACATTTTCTCAGTTTAAACATTTGATATGTTTTCTATTTTCTGTTGTGAATAAAATATGGGGTTTGAGATTTGCAAATCATTGCATTCTGTTTTTATGTAGATTTTACATAGCGTCCCAACTTTTTTTGAATTGCGGTTGTAGCATTGCATGGGGGCATTCTCAAAATGCCACGAATATTGCTGGGAACTATCCACATATACGCAGAAGTTACATAGTCTATGGCCTTTCTATGGCTGAAGAGGTGGCAGTTGGACCTGGAAGAAGCAGTGGTGGAGATGGTGGCGTTGGATGGGGCAGCGGCTTGACCTGTCATCACTAGAAGAGGGCACTGTGTGGGGCAATTGTACCATAATGTGCAAGTGTTGTTTTTCATACTTGCACATCATGGCAAATTTCCTCCCACCACGATACAAACTTTAGTTCCCATTAAGGTCCCATTCACACAGGGCATTCTGGAATTTCTGCGGCAAGAACCTATGGATTCCTGTGGCAGGAATCCCAGGTGTCCTGTTCAGATGCTCCTGCTGTACCCATCAAAGTAAATGATAGGGTGACAGTGGCAGCATCTGTAAACGGTAGTCTGCATGTAATCGTACATGGTACAGTTAGATGCGGTTTGGGATAAGTTATTGCTAGACACAGGATAGAAGCTTACAGTGACCGTGACCTTTTCCAAACCGCATGGGATTCCTGCTGCAGGAATGCCAGATCCGCCCGTGTGGACGGAGCCTAAGGCAGGACAAAAAAATGAAATGTAAATTCCTCTAGAAAAGTGCATTTTCTCGCGAGCACATGTTTTGTTATTGTTGAAGTGAAGTGGGTTGGGGGGTTTGTACATTTTTAAAAATTTGCTTTTTATTTTTAATGGAAAGGTTTCTAGTTTAACCACAATTGGTAGCTCCTATGTTTAACCACTTCAGAGACCATAGGACGTACCTGTGCATCCTGGTTTTTAAGTGGTTGTACCAAGATCATGGCTTTTTCAGATAGAGATGCTTGCTTTTTACAAGTGGTTACAAGTGATTTTAGGGCCATAATTTTCTATTTTCACTAAACTAATGAGCGGTAAAGGCTTTTACATCGTCACCTATGGACAATTTGGAGTACTATAGTTTTTCACCAATGCACGGACACACGCAATTTTACGCGTAACATGTTTGGTGTCTGTTTACTTGACGTGACCATTTTATTTACCAAAAAATTGGGTATTATATTGTGTTTTGTGTGCACTGAAATTCATGTTTTTTTTTCTAAAAATATCTATTTGATAAACATTTGCACAAATATCGTGCCACATAATAAAAATGCAGCTATCATTTTTTATTTTATTTTACAGGGTCCCTGGTTTCAGAAAATATATAATTGTTTGGGGGTTTAAAGTAATTTTAAGTAATTATATAAAAAAATCTGATTTTAGCATGTGTGTGCAAAATAAAAAAAATGCTCTGGTCAGAAGGTGGTTAAGGAAGGTAAAGCATAGCCAGTGTATAGTACTGCGAGACAGGAACCAAAGCCTGAGTCTGTAATGATCAACTACTGTATGCAGTCTGTGCATATAAAATTCCAAACTATAATTAAATGTACAGTATGTTTTCCTGTTTTTAAACACATTATTTACATCAAGATTATTCCTTTTTACACATATAGCAAAAAAAAGTTATCAGATGTCTCAAATCCCAGCCAAGTGACACAAGGAAAGACTGGCTTCTTCTAGAGTCAGCAGTTGAACTGCAGCAGCATATGCAGTCAGTCTTGCCCCATAGAAGTATGGCAGATATAGCCAGAAAAGGAACAGGGTCAACATCACACCCTGAGGGGACTTCTACAAGCCTATCCTACCTCAAGCTGCAGGGGATTGGGAATCCTGATGTAATGTCCAATGTGTAAGGGAGAGCAGCACTTGGAATTTTTTGGGGGCTGTTCTCAACCTAATGTACAGTAGCTTGCAAAAGAATTCACGCCTGCTTGGCATTTTTCCTATTTTGTTGCATTACCACCTGGAATTAAAATGGATTTTATTTGGATTACATGTAATGGACATAATGGCGAAATTAAATTGCTTTAAAAAATGATAAAAATCAAAACGGAAAAGTGTTTACATTAAACTTTGAACATCCCACAGAGCACCATTAAATCCATTATTAAAAAAATTGAAAGAATATGGCCCCACAAACCCCAACAAACCTGCCAAGAGAGGGCTGCCCACCAAAACTCACATACCAGTCAAGGAGGGCGTTAATCAGAGAGGCAACAAAGAGACAAAAGATAACGCTGAGGGAGCTGCAAATCTCCGCAGCAGAGATTGCAATATCTGGCCATAGGACCACTTTAAAGTGTATTTCCACTTTTGCAGCCAAATTGGGATGAACACCTATTTTATATTTGTTAGACGTTCCTATTCACATAGCATAAGCTAAAGAAAATGCTTCTGCAGTTCTAGTTGGATTAGTGTTTAAGGGATAAAAAAAATTTCTAGCTTCTATTTCTTTGAAATGTTAGGAGGGGTGAGGGGTCCGAGGCAGCTTGTCCAATGTATGTTTATAAAGCTTATCAGATAAAACACAATCCTGAAATTTCAGTCAAGTCTTTCTATAAGGACAGACCACTGTGAAAGGGCTAAGAAAAACCTGGAATAAGCCATGTTGCCTGATTTTTATTAAAACATCTAAAAGGTAAGATGTGGGTACGCTGTGTGAATAGGAACACCTAACAAACAGAGGGGTTTTCTCACATTTGACTTTAAAAGTGGAAATACACTTTAAGCCATGGCCTTCATAGAAGAGTGCCCAGAAAAAAAGCCATTGCTTACAAAAAACAATAAACAAACACGTTTGCTGTTCACCAAAAGGCATGTGGGTGACTCCCCAAACAACATGGAAGAAGTTACTCTGGTCAGATGAGACTAAAGTTTAGCTTTTTGGCCTTTCCTAAATGTTGGCACTAAAATTAATTTAATTTTTTACTACATTTATGGGTTTGATAGAATTGTGCTAATATCGTGAGACAAACATTTGCAACTGCCACCATTTTATTCTACAGGATCTTTTCTTTCAGAAAAAATATATGTTTGGGGGTTTTAGGTCATTTGCATCTTCAAAGTGGTAAACATGTTGGGTAAATCAAATGATACAAATACCCAAAAAAATAATTGTAATTCCAGGCGGTAATGCAACAAAATAAAAAATTACAAAGAGGCGTGAATACTTTTGCAAGCACAGGCTTGCTTCTCCTCGCTACTTTAGGCATATAGAATGGCAGTGAAGGCGCATAAAAGCAGTTGTGGGATCCAGCATTAAATTATTGTTAAGGTGTATGGAATGTTGTCACAAATATATTTAGATATTGCTGTTTTAAAAAAGCTTTCTTTTTTTTTTGTTAGCAAATATTGGTACCCAGACAGCTGGCGCCCGGGCCCAGGTGAACCCATCAGTTATGCGCACAATGCATCAGTACAAGTATTCCAACTCTGTAAGAAATGCACAAACAGTGGGAGGCAGTGCACACCTCCAACAGGCACAGTATTCTAAGTATATTTGTTGACTGTCAATTTTACATTGTACCTCTGTACACAAAATTAGTGGCCTTCTGATCAATCTGCTTCTCTATTACTAGAGGCCTGTGAAATTCTAGATTGCTAATTCATTTCCTGGTAAATTGAACCAGCACACCCCAAGAAGAAATTCAGACTGTTCACTGTACAGCCTCTGCAAAAGAAGAATGGGAATACTTGCTTCTACCACTACCCACGGCACCGAATGCCACTCTATTGTGAGAAAATGTCTGGTAAAATTTGTTCAGAAGCCAGCACTTCCAAGAGTACCAATCTTTGGGTCCACTGCTGCACTCTGTGGTTTCTCCCTGTGTCCTATAGTGATATGTAGGTTGGTGGATGTGAACAGTGGAAGAGGAAAGTATTTACTTGCGTCTTTTGCAGGCAAAGATTTTTTGCCAATTTTATTTTTGTGACTTACTTTGGGGATAATTAAAAATGTAATGGCGAAGCCTGCAGATTTATTTGTAACTGTATGATTATTGCACGTGCCCAGTAGTGACTGCACCTGCACTACTTTTTGGCACCTACAGAGATTGTAGATATTCTCCATGTTATGTATAGAAAGTCAAATATCTTCCCACTAGTTATTCTCAAAGGGAAAGACTAGACTTACATATTTTTCTATGAATGCCATTTAAAAGCGCTTTTTAATACAGTAAACTCCACGTTATCCGGCATCCAGGTGGATTGGTAGATTCTGGATATATTGCAGTTTCTGGTTGCTTGAGAGTTACTATTAAACATAACTAATGCCATACCCTATACGATACCAAACCGTAACAAACTCTGTATTGACTTCAGATTACTATTGAAATGCAGTAATCAAAAGCAAATTAAGACAAATACACACTCAAGAGAAATCGACACACGATGGTTTCCAGAATAATACATGCCGCAGATTGGCAGAACAGCGAGTACACGGGATTTTTAAAAAAAATCTTGTTAGATGAGAGTTCTAGTTAGTTGAATACCGGATAACCGAGAGTTTACTGTTTGAACCAACCTGTTTTATGTTAACTAGTGCTGTAAGAAAACACTGCTATTTTAGTTTTTCAGGTACATATGTTTGTTACCAATATAAAAAAAATATTTAATTTCAGAAAGAGTGCTAAATGCAAAAAAATCAAATAAAAAAAAGTTACGCATTGAAATGGATAAGCTACTGTGATCTGTGCCTGCTGGAAAAATGCAGCAAGACTGCAATAACTATAATTGTGCCCCCACTGGTCTATGGCAATTAAGAAATTTAGATCTATTGAGATTACATTGTTGTTATCAGTTGTAGCCGTTAGTAGTTATTCACAATGTATTATTCAGGATTCATTATTAGGTAGGTGTTTTGTTGTATTAATCAATTGCCCACCATGTACAATTGTTGATAGTACTTTTGACTAACGGGGGCAAAAGTAGTGTGTAGAAAAGGACACTCTCCGTGCCTATAAAATATTTGTAATGTTATTTTAAAAAAGTATTCTGAAGATGGAACAAACTTGCAAAGCCAGATGCAAGGTGGCGAAGAAACCGAAGAGACAATTGTGTTATGAACTTGTACCTTCTCTTCTGAATTCTACCCTCTAGTGGTCAGAAGTAATTCCAACCAGTATTCAAAGAATCTATAGCCAAAACCTTTCGTTGAGTTTTTGATAGCATTGGGAAGGATTAAAACTCCTGTCAGGTTTTACTGCCGTTGGGGGTTTGGTTGGAGAAATTCACTTCTGTTTGGTAAAAGGTTGTCCCCGGGGCAGGAAGTGAGGGGAAGTCTCTCCATCAGCAGCATAGTCAGTAGTTAAACATGTATTGCTGACGTTAAGTAGGTGAATGCTAGAACCTTTTTAGGCTTTTTACTGCTATGTATTTCTCTGCTGCTGATTTCCCCTCACTTCCTGTCTGTTAGAATGTTGTGCCCAGAACAGAAAGGGAGGGGAATCTCTCTAACATAGCAGTAAAACTTTATTGTGGTTCTTTTTTCCCCATTCTACCCACAACTATAAACATGGTTCAGGGTAAAGATGCACTTGAATTTGTTTCTATTAGATCTCCTTTGAGTTAAGTCTTTATTGGAACCTGAGACTTTGGTCATCCTTACGCACTTATAAACTTTCCTCAATTTTAAAACTTTAAAAGTAAATGTCCCACCTAAGAGCAGATTCCACAAGATGGCTGCTATTATATTTATTAGTTGGGAAAGCCTCTTCTGTTCCCTACATTGATTTAAGTTTCAGCAATCGTCATCGCCAAGTGAGAATGACTTAGCAGCCCCTGCAGCAGTCTTTTTAGACATTACACTAGCAGCTGGCATCCCTGAAAACAGAGTCAGGCCTTGGTAATGAACTAAACCTAAAAGGGAAAGGGGGCCACAAAAGAAACTTGCTTTCTCATCCATTAAAGAACACAGGAAATCTTCAACATTTGGGTTATACTGCCCCCTGCAGGATAATTGGACACTGGCAAACAAAAAAACTGGAAACTGTAGGCTGGCCGAGAATAACCCTTCCCACTACCTGCATGCCTCAGTTTTTTGCTAGTGTCTAGTATAGACGATGCACCTTCCTTGTCCTTCTTTTTTTTTTTTTTTTTTTTTTTTTTTACAGCCCTGCTGTAAAAAAAAATTTTGAGACTAATTATTTTGCTAGCACTTTTTTTTTTCTATTGTCCATTGAGGTACAGAGCTTGATAAGAAACCCAGGGATATACTGTAGCATAAGGAACAAATAGATGCTAGTCACACAGAAGACTAAAGGTGCCCATACACACTGTTTGCAGTGATCGGAAGCCTGCCCCTCACTGCGGTCATCAGAAGCCCGCCCCTCAGCGGGGCAGATGGGCAGATCGTACGAGCTTTCAATAAGCTTACGACCATCGCAAGACAAAAGTCTTGCTATGGTCGTAAGGTGTATGGGCAGCTTTTAGTGTGTGTGTATTCTTCAGCTCTGCTGTTTTTTCTGTTTTTTTAAAGATTATTTACTATCCACACCTGCTAGTAGATTCAACCTAGATACTGAAATGCTGTGAGCTTCTACAGTCACCCAACAAACACAGGTTTTCCCAGTTTATTAAAGTGACATTAGGCCCCATACGCACTAAGCGACATACCTTTAGAAGCGGATCCGCGCGGCCGGGAAAGCGCGACTATTCGGGGCGACGTTCCAGCGACGGTAGCGCGACCTTCACCGTCGGGCTGCATAAAAAATTAGAAAAATCGGGCGACATCCTCCGAAAAATGGTCCTGCAGGCGCGACTTGCAACCGCGACGGGCGACATGGAGCTGTACATTAAGACAGCCCCATTGCAAATCATTGGCCGGCGACTCCTCGCGATATCGCGTGGCAAAAATGCACGATATTGCGGTGGAAATCGCGCGCAATCCGCTCAGTCACAATTCTTTCACACCCCCCTCCCCCAGTGCTGCTTTAACAACTTGCTGACCGGGTATTTACACCCCCATTCTGTCCAGGCCACTTTCCAGCGCTGCAGTATGTTGACTGACATTTATTCCATCATGCAACGCTGTACTGAAACAAACAATTTTTTTGGGGACAAATAGAGCTTTCTTTTGGTGGTATTTAATCACCAATTTATAGTATTTTTTTAACTATATAATGAGAAGTACCAAAATGTTTTTTTAAAAACCTGTTCTCCCTGCATTATTTTATCGAACATTATTACCCACATTTTTGGTAAAATATAAAGACGGGGTCACGTCAGGTAAATAGACACCACATGTCAAGCTTTAAAATTGCGCATGCCCTGCGAAATCACAAAAAAAAACTACCATACCCAAAATAGGCCATAGGCGACACTTTAAAAGCTTTTACCGCTCATCAGTTTAGTGGTATCAGTGATTAATGGCCCTACAATTATTGCTTCCACTCCAATCTTCGCGGTGATATGTAACATGTGCGGCGTAATGGGTGCAATCGTCGTTTTCGCTTGTAGGTGCACCCAATGCATGTTTGTATGTGGGGGCGGGGGACTTTAAAAAAAAATGTATTTGCTTTTATATGTGGCTGGTAAATTTAACCTTAATTTTTCTAATCCTTCTTTTTGTCCACTTAACTTTATTGCAATTTGCAGTGACATGTCCTCCATATGGAGACATCAGGGGTCTTTAAGACTCCTAATGTCACCTAGTGACCCCCAGAGAAGCTGATGTGGTTGTGTGTGTCAGTAGTACAGTGCAATCAAGCCTAATACGCGTTCTTGTGCGGGAGCTGCGTTGCATCATTTGAATGGCACCCCAAAGGCACCTCCTTCCCACAGTACAATAACCTGCACTGGAATGCGTGGTACCCTAATGCTGTGCATTCCATTGCATTGCGACTTGGGTCACGACTTAATGACCAAGGACAAATGTGGGTCCTGAGGTTACACAGGTTGAGAACCACTGCTTTAGACGACTCTTCTAACACTGAACCCCTCTCTTACCTGGAGGAGGAGGAGTAGACCCCGCCAACTGAATTCAGTAAGACCATGTTTTACCAAAACGGCAGGATTATTCGATTTTTGTGTCTGTGCATTTGAAAATGCAACGGTTCCTTCTCCTACCATGGTGTCTAGGCTTGGTTCTCATAGGCTTAAAGGTTTCACTAAAGTTTTCCTCATCCTTCCATGTTGATTTTATCTATAAAGATTACAACTTGGACTATTCCTTCCACAGTTGACCCACCAGTGCTTTGCTTAACAAAGGTCTGATGTGCTGTTCTTTATGCACCCTACTGTCATCAAGTTGGAAGCAATTTCTTGATCCATTTACTCCGTGGTACCTGCCCGTCAGTACGTCAGCTCACACTTTCCTCCACACTTATTTCCCAGACTTATAGTTGACTGGTCTGAATCGCTTAGTAGGGTTCTGGAGGCTGCTGGTGTTTGATTACATTGAACTGATGTCTGTGGCCTTGGAACTCCTTTGTGAAATGGTGCTGGATACTAACCGAGATATGTCTTGGGTAACACCATTCTT